GGTTTTAAATGTGCAAAGAAAACGTATCAAGGGTGTTTCCAATGCTGGGATGCCTCAGTGCCTGGGCAATCATATGTAAATAGCCTTTTTTCCTTAATTATTAGCAGTGGTTGGTCTTAGGAAGTCACTTGACCTCCCTAACTGGAAGGGACTGGACTGTACAGGTAACATCCCATGCAAAAGTGGGGAATCTTTAAAATAGGAAACTAGCAGGTCTTGTCTTTGGCTGGCTGGCGTGGCACACCCATGGGAATGAACCAAAGACCCCAGGGAGAGGGAGTCCCTAGTTAAAAGACTTAGCTAGAAAAGGGACAGTTTTAGGGTAAGTTTGTAATGAATTTGTAATAAATTTGTACTGAATTTTTAGTGTTAATTAGTTAAGCATTTTCTGTTATTTTAAGTTTTGCTCTACCTGTTCTCACTTATTACCACTTAAATCCTACTGCTTGTACTTAATAAAATCACTTTTCTTTACTATCAAGTCCAGTGTAAATAGTTGTTACCTGAGGCTGCAACCAGTGTGCACATCCTCCTTTCATTGTTAAAGGGGGCTTACCTAAATAATTCCTTTGGCGTTCTAATCCCATTTGGGGAGTGGTATCCCAAGAAGCCCAAAACTGCATTTTCCTTGGACCTGTGGAGTTTCAGTGTTTGTATGGCTTCTCAAGGGGGCAGTGATCTCAGCTCTGTGTCTTGCTGGAGGAGACCAGGGAGCTGGCCCAGCTGGACAGAGCGGTGAGTAGCCTCAGAGAGCAGGTAGGTGAGTGGCAGTGGCCCACAAGGGCTCCCCAGGAAGCACTCCCAAGGAGTCTTCTGTGACTGCACTCCATCACAGAGATATTGTCCAGGAAAATTACAATAGTTGGTACCCTGAGGAGGGCATATATACCCAGCATCTGTGGTCTGGGGAAAGAGAATCCGGATCTTGAATCCATTAACATGCTGCAGCCTCAACAGTGAAGGTGAAGGGAATCTAAAAAGCTATAGAAAAGGACATTCAGCTCCTACAGTAAAGAGAGTGATTATCAGCAGGGCGGCCAGAAGACAAAAGCCAAGTCCTGTTAGGAACAGAATGTTTTATTAAAGATGAGCTACATGTGCAGGATGGAATCATATTTCAAGGTTAAAGAGCTATTGTCCCCACCTCATCCTGAAGGGATCATCCAAAAACACATGGCTTACATTGACAGTATGTTTAATTACTAGGAATAAACGCACCCTCTTCCTCAGCATACCCACAGAGTTAAGGTAAAATGGAATTAGCTGTGAAAACAGCTAGCAACTATTACACTTTTTCTTCTGGTTCAGAGACAAGATTAGCATTTTCTTGGCATACAAGAATACTCCACTGCAGAAGTGTCAAAACAATTCAACGCAGGCACTGATGGGAGAAAGGACAAAAACCCTGTTGTTAGTGAGGGAAGACCTGCCACACCCACAAATATGGAGACACTGCTGAGAGGAGATGGCCAACAATCAGAAAGCAGGCACAGAGTTTAAGCCAAGGACCTACTGGCCCTGGAGACAGGTAGTTTTGTGAAGATTTAGTCACTAGCAAGAAACCAGAAAGAGCTGACTAAAAGAGTTGTGAAGGGGATAGTAGCAACCAAGTCATTCAAGGTGACTATGCAAGAAGGACAAGTGATCCGAAGGAACAAGAATCACTTACAAGCTAGCAGACACAACACCCAGAGGAAGCTTAAAGATACAGAACTCCTCAGAGACAGAGACCCAACCTACGCCATAGGGAGAAAGGAGACTTCATAGACAGAGAATTTGCTAAAATCAAGATAGGTGATGGGAGGATAGGTCACCTATTGAGGAGATCAAACTATTTCAAAGAGTTTGTAAACTAGGGGTGTGATGGGTAAATGTGTAAATGGTTAACCAATAAACCTGGGCTCATCAGTCAACCTTCACAATTACACTCAGTCCCTTCCCCCCATGCTGCTTCTGTATCAGAGACAGCAGCGTGGGGAAGGTGAGCAGGCAGAGCTGGTGCTTTTAAGCAGTGAGTATGATGCGGGGATCCTGCTTTTAAGCAGTGAGTATGATGGAATTAACTGGTTGAAGGCTGAATGGTTTGGCAAAACATCCTTCCAAAAATATTGCCTATGTAGTGCTGTGGGGGCTGTGTCTGCATGAATAATTGTAAAATAAATTATTACTACCCAGGGGGTAATCTGAATTGTGCACTTAGCTTTCACAAGTTTTTATCTTGTTTTGAGTCATAAGTTGCTAAACTGCATTAATTCTGTATTTATTCATTTACTAGCCCTTATGAATTAATACTTTGTTTACCCTGATCATCTAGGTAGCAGTTCCTTTGTTGTAAGTTAACCATGTTCTGACGGGAAGAATATTCTTGTGATTAGTGCATTGAGCTGGAGATTTGGGTTCATTTCCTGGTTCCACCACAGTCGTCTTGTGTAACCTCAGACAAGTCACTGAGAGCTAAATTAACAAAAGGATTTGGGCACCTAGCTGCAGCGTTAGTGGCTTGATCTCACAATCAAGTTCCATAAGGATTCACAAAATCCCCACTCATCTGTTGCTGAGCCCTATAGTTACCTAAATGAACTTGTCACATAAATGTAATAGTTCCCTAGGCTTATATTTTTTCTGCCTCAGTGCCTATGTTTATGCTGCTATCAATGCTGCCTCTTTCTCATTCTTCCTTCCTTCTCTCTCCTGCTTTCTCCCCAGCTTCTGGCAAAAATGGCTTATGCATTCATTGCAGTTGAAAATTCCAAGCACAGAGGCATCTCCCTGCAGCCCAGACTAAGGCTCCTATCTTCTAGAGCTGGGAAAGATAGCATACACACATCCCTCATCTTGGCATTTAACACTGGCTATCCTAGGCAGCTGCCCACCTAACATGCTGGCTTTTGTGACTTGCATTCTAAGGTCTCTATCTCTCCCCATTCACGGTATAGGGAGCCAAGGCACCTAACCCAGACATGAATCCCAATGACTTTCTAAGAGCTCAGTGTCACCAAACCTAAATTTCATTGTGAATCTAGCCCTTATTCGTTCTTTACCTCAGCCTCCTCAGCCTTTGCCTCATCCATTTTGACTGTCATTTCTGCAAAACAGGGACTGTTTTAGAGTGTGTTTGTATGATACCTGGGGCCCCAGTTTGGATGGCTCTACTATAATACAGTAAGCAAGAATAATTCTACTGTGGGTCTACATAAGCCACTGGAACACCATTCTTCTGGTTTATTATGTCCCCAGAACTTCCACTATAACTCCATCACTCATATGCAATTTAGTTGTAGCTGTGGCAATCCCAGTATATTAGAGAGAAAAGATGGATGAGGGAATATTTTTTATTGGAGGAACTTCTGTTGATGAGAGAGACAGAAAGCTTGTCTCACTCAGAGAAATAGGCCCAATGAAAGACATTCCCTCACCTATCCTGTCACCCCATCAGGCATAGTTATGGTACTTACTCTGCTTATACAGAGCCAAATCCTAGAGTTCTTATTCTGTTGATAATCAGGCCTTATTCAGGCAAAACTCCATGGGAATTCTTCTGGAATAGAGCCTGAGTATTAACGTAGTAGAGACTTCAGAATTTGACTCTTATTTAATATCAAGTTAAAATGCAATACAAAATTTCATTATTGAAATACTAATGCAACATTTTGCTTTAAAATACCTATTGCAAAGAAAAATATAGCAAATTATTTTTATGAGTCAACCAATTTATAGAATGCCGTGTTATGGTTATACTTTGAATGGATAAATATTTTGTAGAGTTTTCAGCAACATTAAGATTATGCCAGCTAAGACACACTATATCAGCTTCTTATACATGAATTCAGTCTGACATATAACTCAATTAAACATACATTCTACATTTACCTGTGTCATCCACAATAAAAAAAAATCTCCAAATACACTGCTGTTCAAAATATCACCATGTGCAGGAAGCAGAAGCTGCCCAATTTGTCCTCTGGAAGTCCATTTCTTTGAAATTGCAATCCAAATTGCCCCTGCAGTTTTCCATCATTTTGTATACTGTTTAAATGTAATAGTTTCCTTCCTTGAATCTCGGTCTGATTCATACTCAGCTCTGAATTTGTCAGTATATGGCCAAGATAGATCTTTCCTTTCTTTGACTGGAAAATACTTACTGAGGATTTTGTATCAGGTTTTATTTTTTTCTTTTCAAAGTGTGATAATTTTAAAATGACACCTTTAGTCTTAGTATTAGCGAATGTGCCCAGTTTCCATATACGGTAGTGAGACGCAGTCTGTGATTTTGTTCTCTTTGAGCTACCTTAGGTGACAGTGGAGTTGTCTTATGGCCAACATCAGTGGATCTTTCAGATTATGAAAAAGCCTCATTGATGGTCTTATTCTTTAAAACCCTCAGACAGCGGGGCTGTGTAATAAATGATTTTCTTCAATATAGTGGCTGAACTGGGAAAATGTTTGGTTTTGTTTTGGGGTGGTTTTTTATCTTACAAAATAAAATAAATAAATAAAATTGAAGTACATTTGAAACAAAAATTAATTTAGAATGAAAGTCAAAACAGCTCCAAAAATATTGAGGAAAAAAAGGTTTGACTTTTTTTAAAAAAAAATTAAGTCAAAACAATTTGGCAAATTCAATCCACATTTTTTAAATATTTAGATCAACCTAAATCTGTTGGGTATTATCAATGAAAAAGCATTTTGTCCCAAAAAACGTACCCAGAATTAAACGCTAATTTAGATTAGATGTAGTTCCCACATTGGAACGTCAAGAGAAGTTGCATATTCAGTCATCTCCTCAAGAAAGATTATTTTCTAATTTCTTTTAATTCTATTGCTCTTTATTATGTTTAGAAATTTGTAAGTCATAAATATGTAATTTTACCAAAATTCCTTTGTTACATAACATATAATGTAGTGCTATTTTATTAAATGCTTCTGTTTTTGAAATGCATAGTCAATGGACATATTTATACAGTGTTCTTAACAATCCTTCAATATTTTTTCTTTTTCAGTTTTCTTCTTGTATTTGGTTGCTTGATTTTGTCAGTGTTTTCTACCATTCCTGAGCACACAAAACTTGCCTCTCGTTACCTCTTCATTCTGGTAAGTGAAACTTATGAATATAAGACAATTTCACAGCCACTTTGACTATGGTAAACTCCATCTTACTTTAGACAGTAAAGTAATTTATGCTTTTTTTAAATTCATCAACAAGTTGAAAGAATCAAAACAGGCCCATGATAAACAAAAAATTGACAGGATCACCATTTCCTTTGGGACTTAATCTACAAAGGAAGCAGTAACAAACACAGGATGATATATTTGTTCTCCTCTTGAGAATTGCCATAGTTCATTACTAATAGTTCTTCTGCAGCTTGGCTGACAAAGCATGAAAGACCTTTGATAGCTGCTGTTGTTACTTAAAGCTAGCATACCACAAGAGATACTAAGCTTCTACAATTTTTATACTTAGGAAGATAAGGAATATAGAAAAGAATTTTGGAACTTTAGATACTAATGTGTTAATCAATATATTAACTGTTAGTAAATACTGACTTTTTAATGGCAATTTTTATAGTAGGGTAGGGTGACTTTCTCATAAATACTTTTCTGTTCTATTTTCCTCTTGTTTCCTTTTCCTTGTGGTTTTAAGTATAATGAATCTAATCTAAAAAACTGTTTAACATTATTATAATTGGTTCCAGGCAAAACAATATTTTAATATGGCCAAAATTATACATCTAGGGACAAAGAATGTAGGCCTTACTTACAAGATGGGATTCTCTATCCTGGGAAGAAATTATTCTGAAAAAGATTTGCGGTAGTGGTGGATAATCAGCTAACCATGAGCACTCAGTGTAGTGTTGTGGCCAAAAGGGCTAATGTGGAGGCATTAACAGGTGACTCTGAAGTAAAAGTAGAGAAGTTATTTTATCTCTGTATCTGGGGCTATTATTACCGCTCCTGGAATATTGGGTTCAGTTACGGTGTCCATAGTTCAAGAAGAATATTCAGGCCTATATGCAGGAATTTCTGTGGGGGTGGGTTTTTTATAAATGTGGAACACCATTTTTTTAAATATAAAGGAGTTCAAAATAGTTATGCAATAAATGTACATAAGAGAAGTTAATGAAAAATTTGAGTGGAAATAGTGGTTGGTAACATGATTTTGTTATAACATAACCAAAAATTTATACAGTAATAAAGGTTTTATAGAAATTACCTTCTGGATCATGGTGGGCAACATGTCCATCATGACCCCCCGCTCCCTTGGCCGCCCCTGCCTGCTGCTGCTCTAGATGAGGCCAGCGCTGAGTGAGTGTGGGTGGGGCTTTCAGCCAGTGGAGCCAGGCCCAAGCCGCTCCTCATGGAGTGGGGTGCCGTTCCCCCAGCCCTGATGTGCTGTCACCAGCCCCACCTGCCCATTCCCCACAACACAGTCCTCTCCCATCCCCAAACTTTTTGGCCCATGGCCCAATGAAAACCTTTCGGTGGACCACCACTTGCTAATGGAAACTCGCTGTTAATTACATAATTATGCCCAAGCCATTTTGCTAGTGCTGTAGCTAGGGAGAATGGTTTAGTTTGACCAGTAAGAAAGGAAATATTAAATTAAATTACTAAACAGACTAAATGCTTTAAATTTCTCATAGTAGTTTATCAAATTTCATTTTAAATAAAGTAAAATATTAATTTATGTCCAACACATTGCAGGGGTAGGGAACCTTTTTGGGGTTGAGGGCCACTGAACCACAGAAGAATCAGTTGGGATTTTTCCCATACAAGTGAGAAGCAAAAAAAAAAACCCTCTAAAAATCCTTCCCACTTCACTCCTTTGTCACTCCAGTCCCACCGAGGAAGGGAAAGGGAAAAGGAGGGCAGAGGTTCAGGGCTTCCCATAGGCCAGACTTACTCTTCTGTGGTTCTATGGTAAGTGGATTTTGTGGGTCCCCTCCAGACTCTGGGGTTGGGACAAAAATGGGGGGTACAGTTTGTGGGACAAGGCTGCCAGCAAGAGGAATGGGGGGGGGCAGGACCTGGGCGAGAGGTGGAGTGTAAGAGGGGGTGAGGATGCGAGGTCTGGATGTGAGGTAGGGTGCAGGAGCAGGCTGGGAGTAGGGTATCTGGCCAGTGGGAGGGGGCAAGAGCAAGGAAAGGTGCAGTATTTGTCTAGGAGGAAGGGTGCAGGGGCAGGGTGGGAGTGGGTAGGGTGTCTGGCCAGGAGGAGGGTGCAGGAGCAGGGTGGGGGATAGGTGTCTGGCCGGGGGGAGGAGCCAGGATCAGGCTGCGGGTGCAGAGGCTTGCGGTGAGGGTGGGGGGTGGGTGGGTCTGGACATGAGGGAGTGGGGGCATTTACCTGCCTTCACAAAGCAAAACATGTGGCATGGAAATATCTTGCAACACCAGCTATAAAGTGCCATGTGAACACTTATTTTCACTGAGGAAACATAGTATACAAGAAGCAGGCAGTATTATCTCCAGCAAATTATAACAAAACTTGTTTATCTGAGTAATTGGCTGAATAAGAAACGGGACTGAGTGGATCTGCATGCTCTAAAGATTTACATTATTTTGGTACATAATTGTATATAACTTTAGATTTGTAAGTTCAGCTTTTATGATAGAGATTGCACTATAGTACTTGCATGAAGCAAATTGAAAAATACATTTTACGGTGCTAATATTTGCAATAAAAAATAAATATAAAGTGACCATTGTACAATTTGTATTCTGTGTTGTAATTGAAATCAATATACAAGTTGGACCTCTCAGGTCCAGCATCCTTGGGACCTGAATGGTCTCAGATGAGGGAATTTGTCAGACCAAGGGGGGAGTCCCCTGCCACCGGCCCCTCAGCCTACCATCCCTCCCCACTGATGACTGCCCCAGCCCCACTTCTGGCTGCATGGCATCACAGCTTCCCTGGACCTGTTGGTGGCTAGAAGGCATGGAGCCCTAGCCCCGCTGCCATGGCACCAGACCTGCTGCTAGATAGCACATGGCCTTGGCTGAGTTGCCTTGGCACCAGACAGGTTGCTGTGGCACCTGCCCTGGCTCCAGCGGGGTTGCCATGACTCCGGTTCTGCTGCCACAGCCTTCCCCTGCTGGGCTGCCACCGCCCAGTCAGGCAGCCCTTGTGCCACTGCCACCACTGCCAAGGCCTTGGCCCTGCTTCCACCAGCCTTGCCTGCTGGACTTCAGATGTTGCTGGACCAGAAAGTGCCAGTTTAGGAAGGTGCAGCCTATATTTGAAAATATAGAAACCATCTACAAATATTTGCTCATAATTGCTCATAATTAATTTGTTTAATCATGCAATTAATCATGATTAATTTTTAATCACTTGACAGGCATGGTTTCTAGTAGTATCTGTATTTTGCATTTAATCATAAATGATGTGTATTTATATCCTGTTAGAATTAAATATAATGTTAGAATCTATATAATGTTAGAATTAAAGTTCCAAATTAAGACTCCAGTCTTGCAAAGACTTAGGTATGTGTAAAACTTCATTCATGTGAGTGATCCCTTTTGGTTTGTGGGTGTTACCGATGTACTTATGTTTGTATGATCAGGCCCTAAAAACATGATTTTGTATCATATATGTGAATTCTTGGGGCAGAAATAGCTCCACAAAAGATGAAAGGGAAGCTGGCAGATACAGGCTGTGTTGAAGCCACCTTCTTGTTAGACCAAGATCACTATGTCGGTTGTAAAGGAAAGTCAAGTAAATGCTTCTGATATTATGGCTTTTGCTATTAGATACTAGTAGAGGTTGTTTGGCATATGGGCTTCATGGGAAAATACAAAAAGGATGCGCATTGATTAAGCGATAGTCTGATTAAAAACTATTTAAGACTGAAGAGTAAGTAAAAGTGGAGAAGAATGGCATTACATACCAATGATACCATTATCTTTTTCAGATATATTGTCAGCTCAGAGCAGGGGTGGATTTACAGTGAAACATACCATGCCCTTGCATGGCTTCCCCCTCTCCCCCATGACATGGGGCCCCCAGGGCCGGGCAGTCCAGAACCCTTCTCCCTGCCCCTGCGCAGATAGCGGTCGTTCTGCAGGGGGGAAGGGAATAGTCCCTCTGCAGAGAGGGCTGTGTGGGGGACAGGAGAGTATGATGGCTCACCTGCAGGCCGCAGCCTCAGGAGACCAACAGGAGGTGGTAAGCAGCATGAGCATGGTCTGAAAGGCTTCAGAGGAAAATGGGGCAGCTGCACAGCTGACAGGAGGAAAGCAGCACTTTGAAGTAGGAAAGCACCGCTTCTCTCCAGCTGCTGACTGCAGCTATACAGTGCTCCTCTAAAACCTTTCAGCCCGTGTTCATGCTGCTGGCCACCATCTGGTGAGTGGCGGCTGCCCACGAGGGGATGGAGGTTGGGGGATGGAGAGCCCACAAGCTGCACAGCCAGCAGGAAAAAGCCACTCTTTGAAGCCAGAAAGCACCGCCTCTCTCTAGCAGGTGGCTGCGCTGCCCTCTCCACCTGAGTTCTCCAGCTCCTGTAATGTTACACTGCTGTTGGCTGCCACCTGAGAAGTTGCTGCCTGTGAACAAGAGGGAGAGCAGTCGGCAGATGGAGATCCTGGGGTGGGTGTGGGAGGCGCAGTGAGGTCTGCCATGGCACCAGACCTGCTGCTAGATAGCACATGGCCTTGGCTGAGTTGCCTTGGCACCAGACAGGTTGCTGTGGCACCTGCCCTGGCTCCAGCGGGGTTGCCATGACTCCGGTTCTGCTGCCACAGCCTTCCCCTGCTGGGCTGCCACCGCCCAGTCAGGCAGCCCTTGTGCCACTGCCACCACTGCCAAGGCCTTGGCCCTGCTTCCACCAGCCTTGCCTGCTGGACTTCAGATGTTGCTGGACCAGAAAGTGCCAGTTTAGGAAGGTGCAGCCTATATTTGAAAATATAGAAACCATCTACAAATATTTGCTCATAATTGCTCATAATTAATTTGTTTAATCATGCAATTAATCATGATTAATTTTTAATCACTTGACAGGCATGGTTTCTAGTAGTATCTGTATTTTGCATTTAATCATAAATGATGTGTATTTATATCCTGTTAGAATTAAATATAATGTTAGAATCTA